AGGCTTGCCATGCTTGGCTTTCGGGGCAAGCCAAGGCAGTTCAATACCCAACAATACACCAAGAATGGGAATTGCGAGACTCTTAAGAATCTTGGCGAGAGGACGAATGGTTGGTGAGTGGAAAGATAGGGGTACACAAAAATTTGACGGGCGCTGCCCCGAATTTCTTTCTTGTTCGCGTAGAAGTCTGTGGTGTTTGGCGTTGCTGTTGCCTTGAATGATGGAGAAACGAATAAGGGGTGGTAGATGGGAGTGTAAGATGGTAACGACAGAACATCATTAGATACCCGAGTCCAGAGTTGCATTGGTCGTCAAGGCTCACTCGAATTCATCACATTTGACAACCAAAGAACGTTTTATCCATGTGAAATTATCAAAGTGTTTGCCAACGTTTTCTTCATTGGTGAGAAGTAAAGATATGTTCAAGGCCGAAGCCAAGGAATACATATGTACGGGAAAAATAGGTACAAGAAATCGCCTGCAGATATAGGCGCAATTCCAATAGACTCTGCGTGGTAAAGCTCATGTGAGCAATCTCTCGCCAGTCTCGAGAGAAGCTATGCTCATGTAAGCGTCTAGGCGTTGGTGCTCGTGGTCTTGCCAACACCAGCGTTGGCCTTGACCTTGGCGGGAACATCGGCAACGCCAATGTGGCCGATGAGCGAGGACTTGAAGCCACCCAGCTTAGTGAGGGCAGTCGTGCTGGTAAGGCTGCTGACAACACCAGAGTCACGAGCACGATTCCACTCGCAGATGTAACCCAAGTAAGAGGTGCAGCGAGAGGCTTCGTCGACGGTGTTCACGATGTAGATGTTGCCTCCGTTGGTCAAGCTGGCAGGAGTGACAGGAGTGGTGACGGCATCAAAGTAGTTGCCCTCAAGAAGGACCCAGGTATTGCCGTCAATGTCAAAGGCATGGCCGCCAACGTTTTGGAAGTAGTTGTTGACGCCGTGGAACAGGTTCTCGCTGCCGGCGGTGTTCGTCGTTCCCATGTGAGGGGAGCGACCAGAGACGTCATGTAGCCAGTTACCGGAGAAGGTGTAGTAGTCTTTGGCGCCGATGAGGAAGGCGGTCCAGTAGTGCTTGCCGTTGCAACCGGCAGACCATTCCGTGTTGCCGTCAAACTCGGTGTTGGAGATAGTTACCTTGCCGGCAGCTCCCCAACCAGAGACGATGAACTGGCGGCCGATGAGGGAGATCTTGACGTGGTCGATCCAGATCTTGTCGGCACCGTCAAGAGTGATCGCATCGCCTCCCCAGACGTACTGAGGGTTGAGATTCTACATACAGTCAGCTACACCGGAAATCACCTTCGCGGCAAAAGCTTAGAAACGTACTGTAATGTGGACGTTTTGGATGATCTGAAGGGTCCTCGATTAGTATCTTCACTCTCAAAACTAGGTGATGCTGGTAACACAACTAGGAAGACTCACAACATTGCTCTTTCCACCACGGACACGGAATCCTTTGCCAATAATGACGCCCTTGGTGCCAACGCCAACAAGACTCTTGTTGCTGTTGATATCAATGGAGGTTTTCGCAGCGTTGTCGTAAGTGCAGTCAACCCAGGTGCCACTGGCAGCATCGCAGGTATCCTGGATCCAGGCCTGGCCCTTGGAAGTACCACCGGGACACTTGGTCGTGCGATTATCACTGCAGCACTTGCCGCTGGTCGTGCCCTCAGTGTTGCGAAAGTCCCAAGTGCGATCGATCATGATGGTTCGGGCCGTGCTGTCGGTAAGCCACTCCTTAAGTCTGCCGAAATTTAGTCTCTGGACCCTGTGTTTTTTCGTCTATGGTGAAGGCCAACTTACTGAGCAATGCTAGAAGGGATCTGGGGAGCAGCTGAGCCACCACCAGTGGTGCCAGCTGCGAAGCCAAAGGCTTTGCCCTGCACCTGTGCAGTGGCCGTGCTCGCAAGAGCGGCGACGAGAGAGAGAAGACAGGCCTTCATGGTGCAAGGCTAAGAAAGGAAACGAGCGTAGTAGAAGTAAGAACTATAATACGAAAGATGTGAAGATCGAGGAGGAGCTTGGTTCGAACCAACGCTATGGTATCGGGGATCGTACAAGGTTAAAAACAAGTCTAAACTCCTATCCGTATGATCCTATAGTCACGCCAAGACGCAGTGACAGCGGAGCGACACGAGGAGGCCTCGACTTATTCTCATACTGACAACATCCCCATATTGCAACGGTTTGTGCCAAGCGGCGCTATAGGGCTGGGCCGGCACCTTAGAGGCGGCGAAGTTCCCATAGATCCATTTCCACCTAACAGCAATGGGGATAGAGCACATGAACCCTCTCCATACGTAACTGTACTTCGTACACATCCGCCGCTGTCATTTTGACCGATGCACCAGTCCCTGAATCTTAAAATTCTCCGTGTGATGGGAAAACCCTTGTCCTGACCATACCGACGCGGAGGTGGCTGCTGCTCCGCGCCGACAAAGTCACCATTTGGCAAGTCCGTGGTCATTCGGGCCCGGCTGACATTTCCTGATACGGGAGCTCATAGCTGGGGAGCATGCTGGAAGGGGAATTGTCGAGTGGGACAGGTCCGTCAATGTCATCAAGATGCCACATTGACGGGGGTCCTCCCTTCCGCTTCTCGACCAAATCTCGGCAGTGACAGGGGTCTAGGCAGATGAAAGGGCCACGACCAGAAGGTTAGTGGAAGTCGCCAATGCAAGTGGGTGGACGAACAAGTCTAAAACTCGGACTCTTCCTCCCGTCCCATACCGTGTTGGGCAAACATATCGCCACAAGCCACGTTCTGCGAATGGAACTTAAGGTTGGTGGTCCTTTCCACCGACGTGTCGGGATTTCGTATGAGGGTCTCGTAAACTGGATATCTGGTGGACCGCATTGGCTCGCTCTCGGATTACCTTCAGCATAGCATCCCGCGATGTAAGGTCGTATTATGGATTCCCACTTTGCGAAAAACCTGGTGTGAGTTGTCTGCATCATTCACTTGAAGGAATCATTGACTGCGGAAAACAAGGATTATTATTCGTATTCACCGTCAAGGGTGACTTGACTCAGTCTAGTACTGAATGAGACAGGCCAATCCGTCGAACGAAACCGGTAACATGAAGCAATTTTCGCTCAGACGCGGCTTCGCGCGGTATTTCCACCGCTTTTTGTGAAGGATAGTCTATCACGAGAACATGGCAGGCAGATTCAACTTTTTTCTAAAGGCGTCATTGGATGATGAAAGCACATCATTCAAGTGGTGGTTAGTCCATTCTCCATCCCAGCTTCTTTCTCGAAGGGGCACTCAGTTCGTAGTGACATGGCACAGGCCGCGGCCTTCAGAGATAATAGCTCTTACCTTCGTAACCTTCCTACTCTATTCGGAATATACTCATTTACGACAAGGACTTTCTAGGCTCCGTGATGCTTCATGTTGGATCTAACTCTGCGTTGCTCGGCCGCAAACGGAAGGCGCAACGATACTGCCGTACCAATAACAAGAGGAAGAGAGCACTGAAAACTGTCAAATTGAGAGCTGTGTTCAACTTTACGACTGGTAATCTAAGCCGAGCCTGATGAGATATACACGTAGTTCACCCCGAGAGTACCACCCAAAGGCCCTTAGGATGGTAGGGTGCAAGGCCTACAGAATATTTGTTCTCATGCCAACAATGGACGTTAGTAAGCATAGAGCTTCACGTTCTCATCCTCGCTCTCCCTGAGCTTTTTGTTGATGCTCATCAACCAGAACCTCATCGCCCACGCACATATAATGCTTGCAACGGCAAAGCCAATCATGCATGAGAAGCCGATCATGTACCTAGGTCCATCCGAGGTGGGCCAAAGGTAGGCACAGTAGATATAAGCCAAGTTGGCCGTGACGTTAACCAAGGAGTATGCAACGGCTTTCTTCTCTGGCGTCTGTGACAAGGTATCGCTCACCCATCCCAAGATAGGAGACCCTACGGAGTAAGCCCCAGTTGCATACAAGAAAGTTGCTGCATATCTGACGGCGTTATTGGTGGTTCCAATCGTCATGGCGAATCCGACCACTGCAAGAGACAGTCCAGCTGTAATGTGCCAGGTTCTTTCGTTGAATCGTCCGCTCGACCAGGCAAATGGGATGCCGAGAAAGCCGGAAACGAAGTAGGGGGGAGCGGTTAGTAGAAGAGCTGTAGTCGACTTGAAGCCCCTAACCGAACGTTAGCGTTTCGTCACTTTCAAGTACTCATTTTTGGGTAGGAGTCTGTGATTTGGTAACTTACATGGTACGAACAAGGGTTGGAAAGTACGCGTTGAAACTGACCGCAGAAATATGGAAGTTCTGGCAGGCGCAGAATAGCCAAGTTTTGGGGTCTTTCAGAGCCTGTTTGAGGCCATCCATGGTAGAGCCACGCTCTTGCCTGCCAACTGTATCCCGACGAATACGTTCAACAGCAAGTTGTCTCTCATCCTCGGTTAGCCATCGGGTTACGGAGGGATCGTCAGGAAGAAGAAAGAACCCGAAGACGGCAATTAATGCGGTGACCGAGCCTTCAATGATGAAGAGCCTAACCATGTTAGATCATAGTCCATGACAGATTCGTGGGAGTAGCTCTTACCATTTCCAACCGGCAATCCCCTTGACCTGATCTAGAGTAGTGAAAGTCGCAGCAGCAATCAGACCTGAGCAGCCAGTACTGACTACTTGACCAGTATAAAGTATGGAGATTCTGGTAGCGAGCTCTTTTCGGGTGTAGAAAATCGATAGCAGATACAGGGCACCTGGATAGAAGGGCTAGGAAGGCGACCCAGATTAGCCTGCGCTCCACCTTTGGCTTGCTTTGTGCGACTCACTGCTTCCACAAATCCAAGAAAGAACCGGCAGGCCACCAATCCACTATAGTTCTTGACTCCCGCTGTGGCAGCAGAGATGGCAGCCCAGCCAATCATACAAGTTGACATATAGATTGATGGACTCGTGCGTGTGAGGAACATATTTGAGGGGACTAGACGTCGTCAGACTCAGCGCATCCCGACATTTCTTCAGAACATTGACTGACCTTGCATCAGAAGGTATCCAACGAAAAGAATAGAGATGGCAGTGTTGTATTCGACTCCTTTGAGTCCCAAATCTTCCTCCAGCGTGTTCAGTCGAGCTTGCGGGAGAGCATTACGGTCGAGCTAAGTTCGAGGTTAGGTTCGACTTTCGAGTGAGGACATGTGATTGGGGCAGGCATCGACGCACGTAGTTCATGAAATACATTGCCCAAAGAATCGGCTATGAGAAGACACCAAATTAGCATCATGCTCACAAAAGGGGCCAGACGTGATCCCAGGGGCTTACCATGATCCTGCGGTCTAGCTTCCAAACGAGGGCAATTTCAGCCGGATCCGTCTTCTCATGGGCGCCGGAGTAATCGCCAGAGACAACGGCCTCGCCCTTGACCGACTTTTCATCATGTTCAATCTCGAGCGTACCGCCTTTCTTGGAGTCGGGATCGTGTGTAGCCGCCATTTTTAGCAGAGAGGAGAGACGAAGTCAGACGGCAGTCTTAGAGAGAGAGAACGAAGTCGCAGACAAGAGAACCGATGCTCATTCGGTCTTTGTGTCAATGCGAAAACATACAAGATACCATCTGATTTATACATAACAGCTATCTATCATCTGGCCATCCCCGGCTTTGCGGGGCTGGCTCGACTCAACCCCAGAAAATACATGTTCCCCGCAAGCGCCAATCCCATGTTTAATTCATGACCCGAAGTTCAGGATACGGGGAAAGGGGCCAATACCCGGCGAACCGGCGCTTGGTCTGTGCTATTCCGATACGCCGTTACGCCGTTACGCCGCTCAACACGGCCTTACTCCGTCCTTATCCCGCGATTTGGTCCCCCGCTACTGCATTATCCCGTGCCCCACCGCGGGGTCCTCGGTGTAAGACCGGACGTTGGCCGGAAGGATGTCCAGCCAAGTCAAGGAATAAAACAGACCGAGGAGAACGCGACGACGCATTTGGAAATCTTATCTTGGGACGAAGGTTGCTTTCTACTCTTTCTCGTTTGAAGTGTTATTCCTACGCGCATTTCATCCGCCATGTCTGCCGCCACAGTCTTCGATTCGACGCTCTTTGGCAACATTTTCGGCACAGAGGAGGCTCGCCAAGCCTTCTCTGAACGATCTTATGTTGCCAATCTCATCAAGGCCGAGTGCGCTCTGGCCGAGGCGGAAGAAGCTGAAGGCATTATACCTGATGGCACTGCTGCCATACTGAGGGAGCATTGCGATGTCTCCAAAATCGATTGGCAGCTTCTTGCAGCCCGCACAGAGATCGTGGGATACCCAGTACTGCCTTTGGTAGAACAGATGTCGAAATGGGTTCCCGAAGAGACTTGTAAGTCTTGACTGCCACTTCGACACTAAGTATATCAACTTGCTAAAGCTCAACTTCACCTTTAAGCTGGTTACATTCACTGGGGCGCCACAACACAAGACATCATGGACCTAGCGTCGGTACTCCAGATGAAAACCGGTCTCGAAATCGTCGAGCGTCTTCTGCGCAAGGTCACCTCCACCTTAGAGACAATGTCCGCCGCTTACAGAGACGTACCCATGGCCGGCAGGACGCATCTTCAACATGCCCTCCCAATTACATTTGGATACAAATGCGCAGTTTGGCTGGCTGGCTTCCGTAGACATGTGAAGCGTCTCGAACAGATCAAGGAGAGCTGCTTGCTGGTTCAGTTTGGCGGTGCTGCAGGTACCCTCGCTTCTCTAGGCACAAGCGACAGTGGCATTCGCGTGCGCAAGCGACTCGCAACTATTCTTGGGCTGCAAGACCCCGTCATCACCTGGCACGTGGCGCGCGATACTATTGCTGAGATCATAAACTACCTTGCCCTGGTGGGCGGTAGTTTGGGCAAGATTGCCCTTGACTTGATCATCATGTCATCGAATGAGCTGAATGAGGTGAGCTTACACCAACTAGCTCTTGAAACAGATTCACAATACTGACGCGCACTTCACAGGTTGCCGAGCCTTACGTTCCTCACCGTGGCGCCTCTTCGACCATGCCTCAGAAGCGCAACCCCATTTCCAGCGAAGTGATACTTGCGCAATCGAAGATTCTGCGCGCACAAGCCGGCCTTGTCCTCGACGGCATGGTATCTGATTTCGAACGAGCCTCCGGGCCGTGGCATCTGGAGTGGGCTGCTATCCCTACAGCCTTTATTTCGATCGTTGGGTCCCTCTACCAAGCCGAATTTGCGCTGTCAGGGCTTCAGGTCAACAAAGATGCCATGATGATGAACCTCAAGTCAACAAGGGGTCTGATCGTAGCGGAGGCTGTCATGATGGACCTGGCAAAGTACACCGGCCGCCAGGAGGCGCACGAAATTGTTTACAAGGCGTGCGTCATGGCACATGAGAACAGCATGTCACTGCAAGAAGCTTTGGAAGAGTCATCACAGGTGACGTCTCACATTGCTTCGCCAGACCTCGCAAAATTGTGCGATCCTACAAGATACCTCGGGTGCTGTCAATTGATGCTGGATGAGCTTTTGGGGCAAGGAAGGGGGCATGTCAATGGAAACGGGAGGGGCTTGAATGGCAACAACGGGATTACGGATACTAACGGAACCACCAACGGCAGCCATTAGGCTGATTAAGACGACAGATCAAATACGTGATTTAGGTCTCTTGTTGAGGCCTCGAGAGTCAAGTCCAACTGTCCATTACTTTGCATTACATTCCCAAAAAGCCTTCAGCTTCTCTTCTTGCCTCAATAGAGACCAACCCATATGCGCTTCAGACTTTGCGAGAATATCAAGCAGTTTCTCCTGCTCCGCAGGCTCGTGAAACAAGTGACCGCCTATGTAGATAGCAAGTTGTTAGCAGCCAGGTGTTGCACTGAATTAATGTCAAAGCCGAGCTTACACATGGCAACCGTCATGCCCGCGGCTATGGTTGCTGGCTGCCACTCGCCTGCCGAGTGTGCAATACCACAAATTTGGCGCGTCAAGCGCCGAATCTCTTCTTCAACAGCTTTGGAAGCCATAGCCTTGTCGAGACCGAGGACAGGCATACGGGGATCGTGAGTAAGTAACATTATCTGGCAGATAATGGCATGCTGCTGACCAGCAACTAGATGAGGAAAGGTTACTACACTATCTTAAGGGCACATACTTATGCTAGCCACAGGAGCATTGAGATGTATTGGGACTCACTATGAAAATCGTTGGCAAAAATGATCTCAGGAAATGCCTCGCGATCAGAGCCCGCTTGCCACAGAGGATTGAAAGATGCCGGCCTCTTCTCCATCCATTGATGTAGATAGGCACGCAGATTCTCCCAAGACCCAACGGACCGCGCGTCTGGGCCGTATGCAAATATCAACACGTCCTCAGTGAAAGTGATGATGCGCCACGCCCAATCGAAGTCGGACGCGGGCTCAAGGGTTCTGGTGATGCCGCATCTCTCTGCAAGACGAGGAGGTGGGGTACGTGCCACAAAAGAAATAAAGATTTCCTGACGGATAGCAACTAGCAGACACGCGCGACATAAGCTATAGTTTGGGTCATCGGGAGACTTCGGTAGAGTGAAAATGTTTGTGTCTAAGATGTGCCCATACGGCCGGTCATCGACAGACGGAACTGACTCGACTCGGTCAATACTCGGGATCATATGAAGGCGAACAAGTAAAGCACACCTGTCATCTCCTCGTAGAGTCGCAGGATCATAGTGATGGCGCAAAGAACTCCAGTCGTAAAGCCTCGTGCCGACCCTGGGTGTGCCAGAGCCGGGATGTATGATTGTAGACATCTTGCTTGATAGTCGTCGGCTTCTCCAGGAACCCATTTCTCGGACTGTGTCTGACTCAAATGCTTGCATGAGATTGCCAAAAGGGCGTTGAGAAGGACAAAGTGGGTCGAAGCCGTTTGCACGATGACCGTTCTAAAGTGGCGGTCTTTATCGCAATAGTCAAACTAGTCGAGAATCAGTCCATCAGAGCAAAAGCGTTGCGCTGTTGCCAAAGGTCAATTGGCAGTATGTACCCAAAGAGAAAGATGATTGATGAAATGCTGAAGCAGGAAGACTTCTCGTTTGTCTCTCAAAGGCCATAGAGGATTGCATGGAGACTCCTCAACATCGCAAGGGTAAAGTGACTCAGAAGTATCTTGTTCAGGTGGTTCTGGTATTTGGATTGCTTCTCGAACCTGGAGTGGTTCGGCGGATGTAGCGATAAGCAGATTGGCAATACTTGGGAGGTTTGGGGGTCTTTCAATAGCACCTGTTTCTTGCGGCGATTCTTCTCGTTCTAGAGCGGTGCCCTCCGCTGAGAAAATAACTGCACGAGTTTTAGTCACCTGAATAGACTGTACGTGGTCCGGAAGACAGTATCGTGATAGGTGATAATCTCACGGGTAGACGGCGTTGATAGCCAGACTTGATGAGCTGGGAAAGGAATAGCTCGGTTATCCTCTGATGACTCCTGAAAGCCATCTATAGACGGATTGTGATGATGACGAAATGTTATCCGGGAAGTTGCTTTGTAGGTGCACGATTTCGCAGCCTTTGCGCAAGGGGAGCATGTCGGATTTGGTGTGTCACCTAGTCAGATGACCTTAGTATGTATGACTCTATAATATTAGGCCTGCTAGTTATACTTGGTACCCGACTTACATTTCAAGTGAAGTCGAACACATCGTAAACTTGCGAGGGCATTAGCACCGTCTTGGAACGCGAAACGAGTTGACGATTGAATTAAACATACCATGACTGCCGTTTGGAACGGCTGGATCCTCTTGGCGGCGTCTGGTCACGCTGCTCTGTTTCATGTGCCCCTGTTCGAACCTCAGATGGACTCATGGGCATTTTCACTATTAACACCGGAAAGAAATGGCACAAAGCGCTCTTGACATGGTTGAAATTGCTCCTTGATAGAGACATGGGCGTGGTGCCGGAGAGAGCGTGTTGATTTTGGGTCCATCAACGATAGCCAGAAAGGGAGGTGGGGCCGACGACACAACAGGCAATTTGGCTCCGATCCCCCACTTGGGATCGGGGCGATTTTACTTTTCTGAGCGCTCACACCACAGGCACCGTCACAACCAGCTTTAAGTCTGAGTCGCCACCAACTCACCCAACGCCGTGACGCCGAAGCCATCAGCAGTGACACGAGGTGGTAGCCCGTGTCTACCAAAACTGAGACTACGTTTCACGAGACTTTTACTTAAAAAAAAACAGCTGGTTGTAGGCTTGCTTGACTCTCCGCGTTCAAATATCGCTACATCGATCCCTGTTCGTGTATGTAGCGAGGGTTCCTCACGAAGGTTGAGAGCCAAATGTCATGCACCATGAAAATTCAATGTCTCTCTAAACGCTGGTAAGTCAATAAACCTTGGCGGTTTGGTTGCATGGCTGTTGTTGGTCGCCAACTTCAACGTCGCGTTGGAATAAAAAGACCAGTCCGCGTCGCGGGGAACCATTGTGCCTCAATAGCATCCTTGATTTGGAAGGGA